ATAAACAGTTCAACATAAAGTGCCAGTTGCACCAACAACGTAATAAATAGTTCAACATAAAGTGTACCATTTAAAATAAAATAAAAAAGTGCCAGTGATTGACCTCAATCCCTCCTATTCTTCCAATATCCTGATGAAAAATAAAATCTCTCTGTTGCATAGGCCACTGTTTGATCAACGCGAATTGGGTGTGGGTCCTTGTACTACGAGTCGGGCTAACGTCCACGCTAGCTTCCACGCTAGCTGCTATATGTTTTGCATTGAGGTGATACTTGAGGCTTGATGTGCTGCGGTGATATGCGAATTCCTTTTTGCATAATTTGCAAACAACCGTGCTCTTATTGACGCTTCCATCCGTCCGTTTTTTAAAACAAAATGTCCCATTCACGGGGCCAACCAAAGCGGTCTCATCAGCTTGTTCGTTCACGTTTGACTATTGTTCACTGTGGTTTGTTGTTGTCTGAAGTAATGAACGTTAGTTGGTGCTCCAGTATAATCGGTACCCCTGAAACTCATCCAGTGAGAAACGTTCCGCGGTGCAAAAATAAGTGCGATTAAAATGCGTTAATTTTTTTAACGCGTTAATTTTTGTGTAATTAATTAATCTTAATTAACGCGTTAAAGTCCCGGCCCTAATTTTTTTACCATATTTAGAGGAAATTGTATCGCTCTCATACTCCATCATTGCCTCTTTGTCTTTCAGTTTTCCTCTGTGTACATGTTGCTGTGATGAAAGCCTATCAGGTCTGATCTTCTCAGGCAGCATCATTATTAGATGAGCACAAACTAATTTTAGCCGGGAGCCCTTTCTAGTCAGTTCGCAGCGATGCAACATTCATGTGTGTGTATCGTAGCGCAACTCGCCGAGCTGATGGCTCACGGCACCTGCACTCGCATCACCTGAGCCCTCGAGAGGGAAGTGTGTTTGCCTGTGCGTGGGTTGAAATATTGAACGTTGTTGGAGACTTTGGTCCGGCGTAGGAGCTACTTCAGGATGTGGGACATCGCTCTCACCTGTGCATTTTTGTTTGACTCTGGCTGTTGCTTTGATTTTGTGTAGACCATGCATATAAGGTACATTTTTGTATCTAATTCATTAAATGTTTTGAAATCGGTTGACTTTGCACAATGTA